AGAATACTGTAAGTTATGAATTTACTGCAAAAGTAAAGTTTCGACTTGTGTAAGCCAAGTATCTGCAATAGCTTCGCATTTGTTCCATCAGCCAGCAGATAGAATAACCATTTGCTGTTATATGGTAATGATTTTTGTGGTGGGCCAAGTGAATGACAGAATAATTCTCCCTTTGTTTTGGTCCATTTAGCGCAGTTGACTGGATCATTGCCTATTATCCCCACATCCTAAGAATAGGACATGCGTAACTTAAGACAAAACTGCGGTTTTCTGAGCAGTCGAATTTTCGTTTTTTGTATGGTAATCTAATTTATTGGAAAGTAAGCACGTGTCTTCTAGTAACGTTTTAACGTTTTACAGTTATAGCTTCTCTTAACGTTTTACAGTGATAGCTTCTCTTAAAAATTCATAGTTACTGATCCGTGCCTAATTGTATGTTTTATAGTCATTCGTTGCTTCGATCATCTGACACGCGGTGGCAGTACGACGGCGTGAGCAACACTTCATGGGAGATAGTGAAAGTAAGTCACTTCTCGAAATTAACCTGTGCTTCAGTTATATAGTTATTGTTTTAAAGATCTATTTGAAACCCCTTTATTACCATATGTTCATCGACGTTGGGAACGCTCCTCGCCAATGGCTTGCTGGCTGAAGGCTGTCTTCTGTGTGCCGGCAAAAGTTCCATTTCCGATTTCTGTGGCCGTCAATGCTTCTCTGAAATGTCTTTTCGAAAGCCACGAAGCACGTCGTTTTGAACCGTGATCACATGCTGCATCAAAGATACAAGATACTTTGCCCCAGTGGTTCATATGATGGTGTGTGTTCCTCCCTTGACGTTGCCATATTTAGACTTCTTTTTCGTTCTTTCCCTGTCGACCATTTACTTCGACAACGATTTTATTTTTTACGCTTTTTACTTGGTGATTTTTTGTCTGTGTTGTACTCACTCGTTCGAGTCTTAGAAAAGAATGTGAAACGACCACTTTTAGTAAATTCGGCCTTGGCCAGTGAAGTATTCTTAATGGAAAAAGTATTTCGGCGCTTTCCGCACTGCAGTACTTCCGCAAAAGAAGTATCCTGCTCACTGCTTGAGTACTTTTTTAATACCTGTGGATTACGAGTTCCACTTCAGTAATATGAAAGTTACTGAATTGCAGGATATGTTAGTATCCAGTAAAGAACAATGACATTTTTATTCATTATATGCCATTATTATACCAAAACATTGTGATAAAAATAAAACAAGGTTCTTCCATCATTTTTAATGTACTGTTCATACTAGTTCATCCCCATACTTACCTACGGTCATGAATCGTGGACCATCACTGAAAAACTTCGAACCCGGGTACAAG